CTTTGAACTCACCAGTCACTAAAGCTTACCTCCAGCCTCTGAAGGAATTCATGCCCCCCCTGAGACTGTAAACCCATGACATTCAATATTGCATGGCGGCCGTATTGAAAATTCGGCTGATGGAATTCCGTTTGCGCCAAAAAAAAGGATAAGACTCATAACACTAGTTACTTACTACCTAGTGTTCAATCAAGGGAAAGTGTTTTTGCAAAAGTGATGACTGTTAACCTCGAGCTTGAACAGGCGAAAAGAGTTTGTGTATATCAAGCTTGTCAGTTTTTCATTAAATATGACAGTAATCTATAAATCTATGTCAACATTGTTCCAGTTATCTCTGTAATACATGTCTACAGATGTGGAACTTTCATCATACTGATAATTGTAACTAATGGAAGTTGTTACAAAGTACATGTTTAATATGTTTGCATTATGTTACAGTGAAAAAAAGGATCCTAGTGACAGGCTATGATGCAGACATGTTTTTATTCCAGTGATTCTATCCTGGGTATACCCTTTCAAAAAGAAAGTCTTCTGAATAGATGTGATTTCAACGAATTGTTTCTACAGTGTCTGATATATTCCGACTAAAGTCTTTTCCACTTAACTTCGTGTGCTCTAATTTTTCGTTGTACTCAAGAGGTGTAAAGTTCTCCTGAATTTCTCTCTAGTTTAACTTTTTTGGTAGCTTCAAGCAATTCAATTCAGTTTATTAGTAAAAATTAGGACAAAATAATAAGTCGTTAGAAGATTTGGATTTTGTGAATGATACATACTGGAATGCTCACAAGAAAAATCCACACGCCCAGCAGATCAAGCAGCAAATGACAGGACTTCAAGTGAATATAGAGAAAACGGGGGTGATGAAGACAGCCAACAGAAACAAGCAACAATCACTATCAACGGGAGGAATTTGAAAGAAGTCGCTGCCTTCAACTGTATATATATATATATATATATATATATATATATGCAGCATCCTTTCAACTAAAGGGAACAGAAAGGATATGGATGTCAAAAGAAGAAAGCCAAGTCAGACCTTCATCGCTCTGAAATCACTTTGGAAATCTGCTACACTCAGTCAGCATAATGAACAAGATTAGGATTTGTCAATACGAATGTTAAGTCAGTCACTTCTTCCACATAGATCAAAGACTAACCGCGTTACCAACAGCATCTCCAACAGGTTGCAGGCTCTCATCAGCAAGTGCCTTCACTCAATGCTACAGATAAAATGGCCGGAGTGGATTGGTAGCAATACACTATGGGAATAAAGCAGTCAAGAACCCACTGCACAATAAATATCCCGAAGGAAACAGAGGTGGGTGGAAAACACTCTGATGAGACCTCTGAATGTCATCTTGTAAGAAGAATAACCTAACTATCACAAAATGAAGAGCAAGTTTATGATATAAGGAATTCATTATGGAGAATATGGAATATACCAACATGCATATTTCGTGTACCTCAAAAAAGTAATTACAGTCATGATGTGGCTTTATCGCAATGTCTTTTTGTGTCACAGGGAATGGATAAGGAAACGTAGAAGATAATTTTATTATTAGAAAGTGAGATCTGTGACAAGTAAGAGTCTTTTGGTTTCTTTTTTCTAGCTAAATACTTTTGACATCTAATACAGAATTACACTGCAACAACAGTGCACAATAGTAACATGTTTTTTCTTTCAGTAACCACAATATTCTCTGATCCATAAATTCCGATCAGCGTGTATGTCTTAAGCTCTTCCAGGGATAAAGTTAACTATAAAATCATTAAAGTTTAACTGTTTGAGAAATGAACTGAACTCATTAATCATTATGTTTGTTGGTGGTTGACGGTGGAATTCCCAGTGAACATTTTATCCTATCTGGGAATCCAGCTGACAACCCTGAATTCCGTTGGTAGCTACCATTGTGACAAAAGAAGACAAGGGCCGGCAACAGATCGTTTTATTACGGAAATCAGCACGTATTTATGTATATTTCATGTACATTATTAAAGCTTATTCAAGCAGACAAACACAGTCTTCTGACTGGTTGTTTCTGGTTTCTCGGAAAGTTAAGCCATATATTTGCGAATCTTATTTACCCACGTTAAGTCTGCTGTAAATGGTTGTTGAATTAGCCTTGTTCATATTTTCTCACGGCCAATATTACTGACCTAGACATTGACGTAAATTAACGTCTACCAATTGGCTAGCAGCCTGCTCTCACCACACCATCAGCATTAGTAGAATCACACCCAAAGCCTCATACATCATCAAAGCGTCTTTAGTAGAGGCTAACTTATGAATAGAGACTGGGCATTTTAATTACCACAGTTAGTCATAGGAAAAATGCAAATTAACTCAAAACTCACCAGTCGTTGCTGATAGACAGACAGACAGATTTATAGATGCATCAATGAAGACTAACAGGTTTTATTTTTTTAAATCACTGGTAAGTACCAGATAATAAAGGCATTGTAATTGTTTGTGTTCAGTGCAGACTGATACAACTTAAATCAAATCACATTCATGCGAAAAAAAGTGAGATACCATAAATCTCTAATGATTTCAATAGGAGATTACTGGTCACACAAAGATGATATATCGCTAATGAAAAGAAAAACTTGCCAAATTAGTAATGTCTATCAAACCGTCTGAATTTATGAGGGTGCTTTTTGTGGGGAATAATAATAATAGCAATAAAAAATGCATAAACCCTAAGGCGCAAATGGTCACTTGATTCTCCGTCATATTTAGCTTGAGGTACTAATTTTATGCTTGTAGTACTACACATTGGTTTTATGCTGTTTATGCTGTGTAAATACTTAGTACAAAGAAGCAGTAACTCTTTTAAGTAAGATATGGATACTTGTAATAGGAAATCGTTGTCAGAGATGTAGTCACATAAATGTCAACCATCTGTAAAAGAGGTACATTTGTAAAAAAGGATTCAACATCTAGGGAAAACATGGTTTTGTCCTTTATATCAACGTTATCAAGACAACCAATTAACTCAGTGAAAACTTACAGAAACTTCTTTTAATAGGCTATAATATTTCCACTAGCCACTGTGAAAGTTTGTGGCTTGGAGATCTGCACATTGACATTATGGGACATAGAGGAATGTTAGGTTTATGTGTTTTGGGCAGATCACACGTGTGGAGTCCTCAAAAATAAACTTATCCAAATTTTACTACTATGTAAGAAATGAACATATTGTACACTACTTTGTTTTAACCATAAACTCTGTACTTTGAACTTTACCTCGGTTTTTGAATAAATATATAGTTCTACCTTCGACTCTCCGTCTTCTCCACCATCTCAACTGCCGTCGATCAATTATAACAACCTGTTTTCTATCTCAAATGTTTGCAGGAGCACCGTAGTTTCTTCCTACGTACTTTGGTCGACCTCCGGCAACGTCAACATTGGAGAATTAGTACTGGAGCAGTCTTCCCGCAGCGCCTCTGGAGCCTATTACGTTTATTGTGGATTTTGGATCTTTGTAAACCCAAGTAACGAAAGTTTAATATATTCTTCCCGTAAATAAACTGATTTGGTATTTTATTTTCTATTTGAATTTGGGTAACTAAGCTAACAGAGTAAAAGGTCTACCACACACGTGTGTGGTAATTGGGACTGCGTGGGCTTTAGTGAATTGATTTTCTCTCTGTTAATCACATGCATCTTCAAGAGTTTTACTAGATTATTTAACACCATATTTTGTACATTCTTCACATCCTCCTGACTGGAGTCTCTCATGAATTTATCATTGTTTTCAAGAATGCATAACATTTTACTTTTGTATTCAATTTTGTCCATTATAACTACATCAGACCCTTTATCTAGTCTGAAGACAACTATGTCAGGATTATGTTTGATTTATTTTAGCACTTTAAAGTGCTCAGACGTTAGGATTCTTTCCTGAAACCTATGGCTATTGCAAAATTGGTGAGCTATATCAACTAACTTTGCTTTGAACCAACTATGATGATCTTTAGAAACAGGAGTAAGAGGCTTTAACTGGTCATATAGATTTTTAAATTGTGCATGTACTTCGAGTTCTGAGAAATACTTTTGAGGAAGGCAAAACTTAGGTTCTAGTGATAAGGCTTGTTTCTGTAGTTATGAAAGTATTATAGAAGATAAGTTGACAACGCGTATATACTCCCGATACAACTGAACAAGAGAGACAACATCTCACTGAGATATTGTTAGATAACAATTACCCACTGAGATTTATTGGGCATTACGGATGTGTCAACCATAGTGCTCTTCCAATCCAATCAGCTCCCAAAAAGTATGTTTACATGTCCTTTTCGTTCAGAGGTGATCAATAAAGTCTGATCACTAGACACAGACTCAAGACCGCAAGTCATAGAACTTATTATGCAGCAAAACGTATCTTCAAAGAGAAAACGAGAACTATACTATCCTGTAAACCCTCACATTATCCGGACGATAGTGTCACATCACACTGTGTTTATCAATCTACATGTATTTGTGGAGACACGTACATAGGGAGGAGCCATCGGTCTTTGCATGTTAGGGCTACAGAACATATTCCAAAGTGGCTGCAACAACAAATAAAATCGCCAGACATAACTGACCCCGGAAATAGATGTCAGACCTCATCTGTAGCGAAGCATATTATAGAGACGGGTAACAAGGTTGATTTCAACAATGCCTTTAAGCCGATATATAAAACAAGGTTGGGCCACATGATTAAATTCATTGAAGCCTTAGCGTGTGGAGATGCCGAAGACCGAACCCGGGGGCTCTCGCATGCGAAGCCACATTTAATGAAGTCTACTACTTAAATTCTCATTAAAGATGTATGTTCACTTGAGAAGAAAAAAAGGAAATTATGCCTCTCATGATACTACTGCATGATGCGTGAAAAAAGTGTTAATAACTTTACAGACAGTCAATGAATGATTAAAATAGAGCATTTATAAATCTTACGTAAAGTATAGAGCAGTATTAATAATAATAATAAAGTAAGAAGAAAACTTACGACTTTGGCCTTTTATTCTTCGAATGTCGTAGGATTTCATATTCTACTAACGATAAGTCGATATTATCCTTCACCAATTGTTTTAAAAATTTCCTACTTCGCGCCCATCCATAGTTATATCCCAGCCTAATATAAAAAAAGAGAATAGATGGCAAAACTTAAAGTATTATATTGAAACAAGATCAAAAATTTCTCAGGTAAAATTATGATTTAGGTTAAGCAGTGGAACTGCACTGTTCCATCTAGATGATCTGAAACCAACCCGTAAATCAATTTAAATTATGTAGCAGTTCTGATTTGACACTAGTAACTAGTGTGATGTGTCTAGTCCTCCTATCTTTGATGCAGACTGAATTCTATCAATCAGCTTGTAATGCGGCCACCATTCTAGATAGCTCGCCATCACGGTACACATTGGTTTGATGATTTAAATGGTTGAAAGCATTCGGTAGGAAGCCTGACTGATAGAATTAAGTCTTCACGAAAAGAGGACTAGATACCTGACACTGGATACTAGTGTTCATTCGAAATACCCACTACAGTCCTACAGGAGGTCGATCGAGGGCCTGAATAGCTCCGTGGTAACGTCTCTGACTGCAGTACTCACTGGGTGACTCGGGTTCGAATCTCAGAAGGGACATGAGTTCCTTCAAGGTGGTTGCATATGCGCCTTGCTGACTGGTGAGTGCCAACTAGCACGAAACTCAGATCAAGCAAGTCTTCCTGTGGCCGATTGCTTTCAACCATCTAATATGTAGCAGTTTATCAGTTTGTTGTATGAATATTACGTATGTAACTGTACATTCATCATGATGACAGTAGCTACTTAGTAATTTGGCGACATACCTCTGCTTATACCAAATCAAAGACAAAATATCTGTCGATTTATTGGGTGAGCCACCTACTACAATATGGAAAGCATGTGGTCAGCATTCTTCAGTAAAGTCATTCAAGAACTATCCCGATCTCGGTTCACACTTAAACTTGACCACTTAGTTTACTGTAATATATAATTTTGCTGGTTTCAAACCAATCCAGACAGTCTGATCACAGTTCAAAACATAAAGTCAACTGTCGAAACGGTGTGTCAATCCCCTTTACATTCATGATTGTAGTTTCAATAATCACAGCTCATAGTTTCGGTTAGTGACAAGCTGAGGTCTGCAGTGGTTGTGGATAACCTTTATTTTAGCTTGAGAATCGTAAATTTTACCATTTACACATTTGGTTTCCGCGCTTTATATCCTTTCTGAAGGATTTTAGGAATTGTCTTGCATATTTCAGATAACTGGGAGTTTCTATACTATTTGTGGCAGGGGGAAAATGAAAGTGAGACTGTCGAAACCATCCTTAAAGTTACACGGCAGTGATCTGTAGTAAACAAGTGGTATTGAACAGAAACTCTGATTCACACAGTCTATGCCACTACACATTTGAGTAGGCGAAAGTTAGTTTTTGATTATTTCCCCTGAAAAAGTATTTGAAACCTGTGATATTCTCAGTCACGGAAGTCGTCTTATTAGTGAAAACATGTTAAGAACTGTCTGACATCGGATTTATGAGGTATTTACTCCATTGAAGCTTTTAAAACGAAAGATTTCCAAATGAATTATGAAAAGATGTATCACTTTGTATAGTCTCCTATCAGCTAATAGTGACGCATTACAAAATAGTAAATACCAAAGGAGACCGACAAATTTAATGGTACCACAGTGATAACTATGTGATCAAAAATTGATGTATGTATACTGTGAAGAGCTTTTTGATATTTTGATGCAGTTGCGTCCACTGAGCTGGATAGTTTAATCACAAGTTATTCTTCAACCACTGAGTGTTATTGATTAATGCCTTTTTATTAGTGACTACCACGAACTTTTTCCGGCCGCAAAGTATGCAGTGTACAATTCTCCACATAAAGTAGATTAGCGCACCTCATACTCTCTTCCCATTTTACAATTAAGGGAACTTCATGGTGTTAACAATACCAACAATAATAGCAATAGAAAAAGAGATATTTATCTGCTGCCGCAAATAAGATAGTTAGTACTTTAGTAGTACATGACACGTTTTTCTTCACATAAAATGCACAACAGATATGGTGTGGTTGATATTCACTGGAAAAAGATTAGCAGTGGAATTCAGGGTATCCATTTCATCTTATATGAGACTCGTCATTCGCATATACCTGCAATCCCTAGATAATGATAGTGCATCCAATGAGACTGTACCCCTTACCCATCGTTTCAAACACCCAAATGTTATCCATTAGGCCACTTGGACTAATCATAATAATAATAATGATTTACTTTATTCCAAAAACAGTACTTGTGATACAGAATGGAATTTTCAGCATTAATCGCAATACCGCAACTAAATTCCTCAAATTATAAATATAATTATTCACACAGAAAATTTTCCACATTTACAATAGAGGTAGTGTCAAAAACATGCAGCATATAAAATGGAAATAACAATAATAATGATAACAGCTAGGGTAATAATAATAAGAATACAAGTGAAAATTGCCGTTGGCTTGTGTCACACAGTATTGGCAATGTGGTATAGGAATCCTAACATGTTTAAACATATTGAATATAATGTTCTCTTTACATGATATGGTGAGGGGAAAAACAAAGATTACAGCAGTCATAAAGATAAATCGGTGTTCGCAATTATGCGAGAGAGTAAAACAAAGAAGTAACAGGACCATAAATATAATAGAAGTAATAAAAGTAAAACTTGAAGGTATATAAGGATGGATGGAGGAAATTGTTTATTTACTAGATGAAAAAAGATTAGTTAGTTAATTCTTTCCTGACACTATTTTCATCACATAAAATACGTGCCAAATATGGTATCATAGAATTTCTATACTTAGACATGCAAGCATACAGTATTCTGAAGTTACTTCTTGTTCTACCTGAGGAGATGCGAGGTTGGAGCTGAGGGTAAAGTGGATGCTCCAAGTCAGACAACAAAATCCCTTTAGCAAATTTATTGCATGAAGTCAAGTGCCTATCGATAACAACATTAAGTATGTGGTCCACTGGGACAGCACTCACCCTACTGACCGTCGTCTTCACTATTCTACGAATTGTGAGATAGTCCTTTTTAAGCAAACCAGGAGAGAATAAGAGTGAACCATAAAGAAGAATAGGTAGGATGCAAGAGTTTATGAACTGTAAGAGGAGGGAGAGGTTGAGTTATACCTGAGTGCCTTATTTTCTTAATGTAAAATTTCTAAACACATACGTGTATGAAACTTTAACACCGATTTAGCATGTAAGTCGTGACCAGTAGGGTGCAGCAGGTTGGGTGTATGGACAAATACTCGTCGAAGACATTGACTGGGGGTCGCACTATGTCATGAATTTTCAAAAGTTAGAGTTCATGGACTAGCCATTGGATCGGGTTCCAGTGGCTTAATGGTCTACGAGCTCGCCTTGTAACCAGAAGATGCTGGGTTCTAACACTTGCGGTGCATGAGCACTCCTGAAGAGTCTCAAACTAGGACGAAATAGTTGTCCAGAACTTCCAGGTTTTCCAATGGTTGTTCAACCAATCTAAGGTCATGATGAAATCCTGTAATCAATCAAATCCTTACAAAAAAACACTTAAAAAATCTATATTAGTTTGTTTATTATGTTCACACACACATTGAAACAGTATTTTGTTTGATTAATTCGTTGCTTGAAAGCATTGTATAGCGTTACTCAACAACTCTGAGATCCGATTTTTACTGTTTTCTTTCTTTTTTTTTACATCAGTAGTCCGCGTAATAGAATTTTCCAGACGTCTCCACAGGTGTTGGATCAATTCTCTTTTAATAAACAAACAAATATATGGAATTTCACCAAGAGACTGAAATTGCAATACACAATGGCTAAACTTAAAACTGTTAATTAAGTTACCTCAGCAAATTTAAAAAGGCGAAGCGTACGTAATACAAACGTGTAGTGTTTTAATGTCATGGCCGCCGATCGTGATGTTACAGTCAAACTGATGCACCTAAGGTTAATGACCGATAGCTTATTTGTCTTCTCAAAAACTAGAACGCATAGTGATCTATATCAGACTCGTGGAGCAGTACACTGAAACTTTTTCTGGACTTAAATTACTAACTTTTGATGTTTCCCCACATTCAACAATATTGCTTCGCAACTTCTTTGGGAGTTGGAGGACAGATATCGACGTCACATCCTGGTTGAGATTTTGATGAAAGGTGGACTTAATTAGCATAGCCACAGGGTAGCTGGACTGCTTTGGAATCCCAATCGCTCAAAATTTCAGATATCTCTTCCGGAAATTAATCCAAGGCTTATGGTACTCCATTATGCTGATGATATTTCCGTTGTTTCTTCATATTAATCCATGGCTGTCCACAGTCTCTAGGAGAATTTTTTGTCAAGATTATTTTTATGGATAGAATACATGAATGCATCAGCTTATAATTCACCACATATAGAGACAGATTATGAAGGAGGTTAACGGAATTATTTACCTTCTAAGGCTGAAGTAAGTCAGAGGGTTCGAGTGCCAGCCTTTTGAACTCCATCTGACTGGTGTGTTATAAAAAAATACTTTAAATACTATGAATAATCCTTATTTCCATCATATCTGTATTTGAGGGAATAGAGTATAAAGAAGGTTTAAGAATTTTCATGGATTCATTCAGTGTGTAATTCCTATTCATATGAAATAGAGTTAAACCTTTTCATTTATTTGAATATTTCTAAAAAAACCGTTTCATATTTTACACTTTATTCTGTCACAAACTGATCAGGTTACATAGTTTTTTTTGCAGCTAACCGAGAATAAAGTGTGCTGCATCAATTTCTTTGATAAAAAAAAAATCCAGAATTCCCGGGCTATACTGTTTATACTGCCCAATTTGTACATCAGTCAGACATATACTAAAAACTAGTCAACACTGGGTTTTGAAACGCTTCAAAAGTGAGCTACCAGAGCCCCGACAAAATCTGGTCTAGGAAACTCATGTCACTTGAGGATGCCTTTATTATTCAGTCGGTGGGTTAAAATACACTTTAAAATTAGTTAAATTTCTACGAAAAGAACATTTGTCAATTGATTGGTCATGGATGAACAATGGTTAAGACTCCTAATAT